ATGGGGATCTACAGCTTGCCAGAGATGCTTGCAGGTTCAGAGAAAGCCAGTTTCAGGTTCTTGGTCCACATGTACCTTGAGTCACTGCGAGCAGAGGCTGCCCATGAGCAGCTCCTCATGATGCTGCAGTTGAGGCAGGGCAGATCTCCCCTCCACCAGGCCTCCTTCCCTCTCCCCTCCACAGAGCCCTGGCCAACCACACATATCCTCTCCTGTCAGCAAGGACACTCCTGGGAGACACATCTGCCAGGCTTGTGCAAAACTCCTTCAGTGGGAACACTCGTCAGGATCTGCCTGGATGGTTTGGGCTCCTCTCTACTGCGAAGGGATCAGACACATGACCAGCCAAACAGATAAAGCTCATCCCTTCCCTCTCATGCCACAAGACTGGATCCTCTGTAAGCAAGGCAAAAAAAGCAGCACTAGTGTTATTAAAGTGTTATTTATTCCCATGAGAAGAACAAGTAGAATTTGAGTTCCAGCTGGCATTCGGTGCTATAACTAAACCTCCCATTGAGATAATTTTTTTTTTAATTGCCACATTTGTGAGTTGACATACACCTTTGTTCCTCCTTCAGACTGTGATCTTCACAGCATTGAAAGGTCATGGACTTAAAGATGCAGGACAGTTTTGGAGAGGAAGTAGGACGTTTTAGATATGCAAAAAAATAATTACTTATGCTGAAACTGGGTCAAAACACCACAGAGTTTACCACGGCTCTCAGGAAGAATGCCATGGGTTTTTTTAATAACAACAAAAATTCAAGATCTCAGCATTGGGTCTCATCCCAAAACGTAATATGGTTTCAGACCAAATGGAAACTAATCCAGCCTATAAATCATGATGCAGCAGATGCAACATGCTCAGTCCTGAATCCAGTCACTTTTGGTCAGCTAAAGTTGATCTTCCAGACAGCTTTGTTGGGAAGGCAACAGGAGATTGAGCACTGCTCTTCTTTCCTTGGTATTGTTCCCATCACTAATTATGTTCATTGTTTCAGCTGAAGTTAAATTATCTTTTTAATTAATCCAGCTTCACCTTCTAGCCACTAGATCTTGTTATGTCCTTCTCTGTGAGGTCAAAGGCCTCTTAGCACCTATCATTTTCTCTCCACGAAGGGACTTACTACACCAGATTACACGTTGTAATCTTCCTTTAGGAACTCTAAGCAGACCGCGGTCTTTAAATTTATCAAGACCAGATATTTTCCTCAGTTCATAAATCATTTTAGCAATTCTTTTCCCTACTTTGCCAATTTTTAAACACCCTTTTCCAATGTGGATGCCAGGTCTGTATGCAGCATTCCAAAGCAAAATTGCCTCCTTACTCCTACTCACTATTTTCCTGATTATTTGTTCAAGGAGTACATTAGCACTTTTGGCTACAACACTGGCAACTCTTGTTTGATTCTGCGTCCACCCAGGCACCTAAATTTACAGATCAAAGGTTGGACTTGATGATCCTGAAGGTCTTTTCCAACCTAAATGATTCTGTGATTCTGTGAAATTCTACTCCACTCTCCTAGATATGATACCAACTTCCATCAGATAGCTTTGAGGAAATATTAAGAAGTGTTTCCAAAACACGTTACAAATATGTAGTGAAGGCCTCAAGCCTTTTGCAACATATGGAGCAGAAGGCACATGAAAATGCTCCTCAAGCCTTCTGTTTCCTTCTCTCTGGCCCACTGCAACAACCCTTGCCCTATATTCTAATACTGAATTCAGTGTGTTTGACAAAACCCTGGAATGCCCAGTGTATACAGATTTAGGAACTGGAGGATCTGTGAGGAATGAAGTTCATGACAGCTGGATAAAGGAAGATCTGGAGCTGTGATCATACAGGAAGTGTCGAAGCCCATTTTGGGTTTCTGCAGCCTGTGCTCAGCTGAGGTTCACAATAGCATGGACAGGATGTCACCCCAAAATCCCTTCTTCTCTTTGAAAAGAACAGAAGTTATCTTATTTTTGTGCAGGAACAGACACTAAATTACCCAAGTTCTATATGGTAGATGTTACAAAGCTGATGTATGGCTTTGTCTAGCTCTGCAGCGGGAAAACAAAAATCAGTTACTTTGGCTCCTCACTTCACATCCATGTTTTTTGTCTTCTGATCATTCACAGGAAACAAAGCCCACCTGCAGTTTTGGAAAAGCCAGGCACCCCTTACTTCCTTGGGCAGCCTGTCCAAGGCTGGTTCTCTTTGCCTGGGGTGGTTCTCTGAGTCACCAGCCCAAGCCTGGCAGCGGGTGCAGCCACTCATACCATACCACTGCCCTCACTGCCATGCTGAAAAATACCACTCTGAGCCACAGTAGGGACCTCATCTTATCTCAAGCACTTTGAGCAGAAGAAAGCATGATTATGGGTGAGGGTGTCAGGAATACTACGAAAAGAGGATCTAGGACCTAGGGAAGATTGGAGGCCAGGGTAGCACACGTGGACAGGAGCAGCCTGATCTTGAGGGGCCACTCAAGCAAATTGGAGCCTTCTAGTGTTGCTTGATATTAGCACCTGAAGCAGACGCCCTGGGACATTCGGTATTTAATTTTTACTCTTTCCAGAAAAAAGGTGCTAACCTGATAAGTGGCCGTATGCATTTTCCCCCCACCTCCAAATGTTAACTCTGAAGCTTCATTCTGGTACTAGAAAGATGCTCTGGGGTCAACCTGGCTTGTTCAGCCTCACTAGTAACCAAAACTCATGGTCAAATTCTTTCTTTGCTCTTTCACAGCACAGCCTAGGGCTGTCACTGCAGAGAAATGGTGATAAGTGAGGAAAGCTTTTGGCCAGGCCATCCATGGGGAGTGGTGATATCGGCAATGTAAGAGCCAGAGCAAAGTCCAGCTCACACACTCAGACTTGTGCTGGCTCAGCAGGATTAAAATGCAAAATAATTATGAAAAAAGGAGAAACCTTTATTTTGTCTAAGAGTAGCAGCTCCAGCAATCCAGTACATTTGGAGAGCAGTTTTGTTAAGTGTTGAGGTATGGTCTCAAGTCTTTTTCTATGTAAAGTCATAACACAGAACCCTGCTTTGAGGTCCTCAGTACATTTTAAGTAAGGCAATATCGTGCTGCACCCCTTTGACTCTTACAGAGGGTTGAAAACCTGGAAGCTCTGCTTCTGGTCCAAGGAGGCAAAGCATTCCATTCTTGATTTTTTTTTTTCTGATAAGAAATAATTGGAAACACCTTCCCTATGAAATATTGCTGGTTTCTAGGGTTTGTTTTTTTTCTCCCAATATCACCTAAAAAAGCATTTCAATCCTCAGATCCAAGAGGAAGGTTTTCCCATACGGCATCTTTATATGCCCTCTGCAAGACTGATTATCTGCAGGAACCACCCTAAGATAGACCCTGGGCTAAGGTGGTGCTGAGAAGGGAGCTGGGCCTCCTAGGAGTCCTTCTAAACAGGTGCCACAGGGTTTCAAAGCAACATGGCCTTCCACAGGCTGCCAGCAAGAGCATCAACAACCAGATGGCATTTTCTACTGGGTCAGCAGCCTGAAACTGGAACACACTGGTCTCCTGTTTTATGGTAACTCTGAGCAAAGCAGCTCTGACACACCCAGCAGGTATGGGTTACGTGCTGAGCTTTTCAGCAGTGGCACATCAAAGATCACCCCAGGAAGAAAAATGGAAAAGCAAAAGGAATATAAGAAAGGATGCTGACCCTAACTAAGGCTGAACACTCTGCAACACCAGTTAGCAACAGGGCTTTTTATCGATTTAAGTGCCAACACTTGTAAAATCACAAATAAGGTCATTTTAGACAATAGGTGCTTCAAGAGGAAAGATATCCACACTCTTGTCCACACTCTGTTTTTTAAGCCCAGTGTTTCTCTGCATGGCTCAATTTGCACTTAAGTATGTATTTTTGTAAATCACAAGATCCAAGCCCACATGGCCTCAGGGCTAGCAGGGCTGGGGTACTTGGCTACATTAACCCACAGGCAGCCAGGACATGAGGTGGCCCAGCACTGAGCATGGCATGACAACTCCACCAAGAAGGGCGAGTGATCCCCACTCCTGGCTGGCCACAGCAGCCCAAACCCCAGGCAAGGCTCAGCCAGATCCCTTTTTGCTAGGACCAGTTTTCCTCCTGGGGCTGTGCAGCAGCATTCATCCCATAGTCCTCACAACACCTCTGGCATAAGGAGGCATCAGGTTTGGAAAACCAAGAGGCAGATCCTTGACTGGTGCAAGTCAGCACAGCTTCACTGGAGGCCAGGGAGCTACCCCAATTCACCCCAAAAGGGTCTGGCACAGAGAGACAAAGAGACACACCGCAGCCACTCCATGGGTATGGAGGTTGGGCATCCTGGCTTTCAGGACTGATGACACAGCTGGAAATCACACCTGGCAATAAGTCTGGCTCCAACGAACTGAGCAACTGAAGATAACCAGTCCTCAGAGCCAGCAAAAGGTTTCCCACTTCCCTTAGTAGCTAAAACTCATTTTCTTCTCTTTTCAGCAGCTGTGCCTTCAGGTTTTGCTGCCCTTCACCTTTGGCCACAGGAGGATGCCAGCAGGCATTCAAAACTTCTGCCACTCAGCAGTTACACCTGTAGTGGGTTTGACATTTGACATTCTGATATTTGCCTGCTCAGGGAACCTGGGTGTCACCCTTTAGCTTTGGTGTAAAGGGCAAGCAAAACAATGATAGCCCTCACAGAGCATGAGCTCAGTTCCCCAGACTTTCATCACAAAAACCTCACATGTGCCCATGAGAAGCCTGTGCTGGTAGGTGGAAGCCCTGGTTTTACAGATCATCAGAAGGTATAGTGAAGGGAGCTGCAGAAAAAACACACAGTGCAGGTAGACAGAGCAGGAACTTCAGCTGGAGACCTTCCTGGCAGCCATCAGAAATGCCACCTGTACCAGGTACTTTTCCATAGGTTTTAATGTAGCTTAAAAATTGTGTTGGAAATAAAGGAAAAGGCACACTATACAGGAAAAAAAAACAAAAAACAAAAAACAAAAACAAAAAAACCCAACTCCTAAAATGATACCCTTTTATTTGTAAAGCTCTGATGAAACAACTTTCCAAATGACATCCCATTTAAAAAACCAATGAAAACCAACCTAACTATGCATCAGTCACACTATACAGATTGCATCCTACATTTTCAAGATGCCTAGATATCTTCTGTAGTATTTACATATGTATCAGTTAGGTAGTAAAATTTCATTGCAATTTGTTTCTTTCCACCACACACTTATTCAATGGCAAAAAAACCCCTTGGGGATGCATTTGCATTTTTGTACAACACTTCGGAGCAAATGGCTAGGGCAATTTTCCTGAGAGAAGGCTTGTTCTTTGAAACTCTTGCTTTAAAAACTGGAAATACAGAAAGTGGATGCATTTTTGTTGCTCTAAAAAGCCTAAGGATGCCTAGTTCAGTTTTTCTCTTAAATTATTTACGTACCATTAAGTTAAAATGTTTACATTCATTCATTCATATAAAAACCGTTGTTAAATCTTATGCAAATGATTTAACACTGATTGCTGCAACGCAAATTGCACTTCTTTAAAAAAATTATTGTATATATGGAAGAAAAATATCTGATTGCTACCCTGTTTACAAATTTTGACTGACTCTATACAGTTCAGCCAGGAAATACGGACTTTCATAAATCTCAGTCACAGTGTACTTTAAAAGTTATATCGCAGTCTTGAAAAGTGAGTAAATATCTTAAACCAAAAAACACCAATCCCAAAATCTCCTTAACCAGCTGGACCTTGTGGGACTTGTACCAAACATTGTGATTTCTTCCAGGGACATTGCTAGGCTCTGAGGAGCAGAGCGAGGCACGCTGAAGATGGAGAGCACAGAAGGAGAGGTCTGACAGGGCGAAGACATCAAATGCTCGGTGCGAGAAGTCTGCGTCAACTCAAGCTGTAAGCACGTCTGACACTCATTAAAAAGTATCTCACTATCTCTGGTAATTAAAGTCTTTGCTACTCCCTCCCCAACACTGACAACTTCCACCAAATTCTTAGGGGAAAAGGCGATGAGAGAGTAAAAACAACTATACAATCAGAAAGGCAGCACTGCTGGGTAAGTCAAGGATGTATTTCTGGAATCTATCAATAGGTGTGGGTTTATCTCTTCTTTTTTCTTGTTGTTTTTTCTTTTTCTTTTCTTTTTTTTTTGGTTTTTTTTTGTTTGTTTGTTTGTTTGTTTTTGGTGGGAGGGGTTTGAAGGGTTTTTTGAGAGTGTGAGGCTGCATTAGCTATCCCCGGTGGTCATTTGCTTTCCATACATTTTTCTTGCATAGATGAGGAACTGGATGCTTCGGCAAAGCCACTTTTGGAAGTAGAGAAACACCTCTGCCACCAAGGCTCACAAACTGTTTCAGAGGAATGGTCTTTGCCAGCACTCTCACTGCCACTGCGACCGCTCCACAGAGGAAACTGCGTAGATGTCTGGGGGCTGCCAGGATCCAGCTTCCCTCACACCAGGTCACGCCAGAGCCAGGGCACACCAGGGATCCTGTCTCACAGATGCTGTCACTTCGGCTGTGGAGGTCAGGCTGACTCCTGTGTACAGCCCATCTTGACCTGAATACTTAAGGCTGCTGCTTTCGGGACTGGTGCTCTCTCCTGGGCCAGACATCACCGACGAGCTCGCCTGCAGGGAGGGGGAGAGCAAAGAGAGACTCATTGAGCAGGTGAGCTTTGCACACACTGGGTTGTGAGTGAGAGGGCAGCAGGCCTGAAGCACAACAATCATCACAGGAATTTTGCTCAAAAACAAAGTTTGCCCTCTGCTTGCCCCTTTGCCTTGAAATCCTGAAACAAAAAAAATGTCTCAGCATGAGCCCAGGCACCCAGCCCTGCTGATGGGAGTGATGTCTGTGTTTGGAGAGGTGGAAATGAAACCATGTGATGTGCAGAAAACCTGGAAACCAGTTCATGATGAAGAAGGAAATGTGCATGTGTCCCACTGCCCCCTACTGAAGAGACACAGGTGCCGACACCAAAAATGCAACCTGGGAATGGCAGCAGCTCTAGTTTTCCCTCCCCATGGGAGAAGACTGATACATCCCAATTCTCCAAGAGCAGATACAGAGCACCTCCTGGAAAGCAGCTTTTTTTGGGCTCTTCAGCCCTTGAAATACTTAAAATCATTCCCGACCCTTCAAAACACCAGCCAAAACCACTTTATCCCTGTAGGACTGGCCACTAAAGAGATGCTCTTCTAATCTCCAGTGGAGAAACACTATGCCTTTGAAGCTGGAGCATTTTTGTTCTGCTTCCTGCACAAGACAACAAGCAGGGGAGCCCTGGTAGGCACAGAGATGAACCTCTGAACTACACTGGAACCAGTCCATTTATTTTAACAGAGAAATGGAGAGTTAAAAAGACAAAGGAACAATCATTTTTTCCATGAGGCTGAGCAGATCCCGCTAAAGAGGAAAAATTTGCAGTGCCAGACAGAGAAGGGGCAACATTTTCACCTGATAAAGGAAATGTTTAAGAGCTGACTTCATGCAAAATTAACTCTTGGATATGTCAACTTTAGAACCTTAATTTACTTGTTAATGGATAGTCTTTGGATGAAATTCCTTAAAAAAAAAAAAAGAAAGAAAAAGGCTATCCTAAACTGTGACTGCAGAAGCTTCCTGCCTGCTGTTTAAGTATGAAGTATACATATTTAATCATTTTACAAGAGTAGAGCTCTTGGCTCTCCTGGAGCTGTGCCAAGCTAGCAGTTCTGACACAGGAAAAGCAAGGTTTCATTTATTCAAAGGTAATTTCCAAATGGTGTGGTGCAGGGCTCTTGCTTAACCCAGGGAAAAACCTCACCTTCTGAAAGAGATACTGCTAGCAGTCATTTTTGTCTGAAATAACCTGGACTCCAATATTTTCTTAACCTTTTATTAAAATGATTGACCGCCACTATTCTTCCACCCAGTCGTCAACCCTGATCCCTCTCCATTAGTCACTACCCAGAAATGCAGAGAAGGAAGGAAGGGGGAAAAAAAAACCCTATCTGTCCCCCAAAACCAGCTGAAACAGCTCTAAACCTAAGAAATAAGTTTTATCACTCCCTTGAACATACAGTTGCCAATCAGTGACAATAAATCTCTGTATCCTCTTTCCCTGTGACATGGGAATTCATGAAGAATTCAGTAAGGCAAGTCCCATGCTAACCTTTGTGTAGTTCTGATCTTGCATCAGCCTAGCTTTTCAAAGCCTTCCCTTTATTTCTAATACCTCAAACAGATTTCTGTTAGCACAAAAAACATAATTTTTAACAGCTTCAGTCTCCCCACGGTGGAAGAAAGGTTTAAATTACTGTTGAGCAGTGTTTGCTCAACCTGAGCTAAAAATACTAGGAGCTGCTTTGAAAGGTTCCCATTTGCCCATATTTGCCACTGCTGTTCTGGTAGGCAAATATCTTATCAGCACCTGTTTTTTCCGGGCTTGGAAAGTGTAATTCACCTTTTCCTGATTCAGCCCTATAAAGGTGGGGTGCAGGGACCCACAGTTTCCATATGGGTTTCCATATGGTACCCCTCCCTCGAACACCCCAAAAGGGAGGACATGGAGGCACGTCCTGTTTGAAGACTGCCCATCCCTGCCTGTCCAAGGCCGGATCCTGGCTCTGCTGAGCCAGGACGGGCAGGACCCGGGCAGGACTGCCGGGCCTGGAAACCCCACCCCGGTAATGTCATGACAAATCCAGGCAGCTTGGGCAGCTCCCAAAGTGAGACATGGAAAACAAACTTTAGCTCATGAAAGGGACGTGACGGAATCACAGTTCTGTTCCTGAGCCTCCCTACCTTCACTCTTACTGTTCCAGCTTTAAGGGATGAAAGATGACAGAAGTTGCACTTAGTTATTAGAGGACTTTCTTCAGTTTAAATAAATAAGCTGAATAATGCTGATGAAGTCAATAAGGTCTAATTCACAGCTACTGGCTCTATCTAGAAAAAGATAATGCCTTTACTTTTATTGGTGAAATCTGGTAATAGCATAGATAATCAACTGAAGGTCAGCTTCCAGAGGAAAAAAATGAATGAAGCCCACTGCGAAAAGCCTGCCTCCCAAACAAACATGGAGGCTGTGTTTGTATCTGCAAAGGTTCTTCTTTTTACTCAAACCAGAAGGAGCTGGTCATTAGTCCAACCCCAGGCAGGTTGTCTGTATCAGAGGTGTCCTTTCTGTAGAGGACCTGCCCACCATGTACACAGGAGGGCTCTGCCAGAGCCACAGAGACAACCATATCACACCCAAACCTGCCATCCTCATCAAAGAGGCGAATGTACCTTCACTAGAACTGCTCCAGGTCAAAACCAGGCTGCTCAGGCTGCACTGGCCAGCACTCAGGGAACAGCAGCAGTAGCTCTGGCTGAAAGACTCCTGCTTTCTTCCACCCACTCCTTCCTGCACCATCTGCCCACCACAGAGAGAAGGGAGAGCTGATGGACACTTTCCCCTCTGGCCTTCCCCCGCACCTCCGCAGCCAAGAGGGAAATGCGCTGGGCAAGGACAGCTGCAGGGGGTGGCAAAGGGCCTTGATCTAGACCTTTGGTCTATCAGATAGACCTTTGCTCTATCCACTTGACATGTTCAAAATGCTCCGTGAATTTTGGACATTACACTAAGTCAGCAACAGGCTGAGTCTCAGCTGAGACTCTCTCTCTTCCTCCTAGTTTACTTTTGCAACACTTAAATAATATCTGCAGTCAGTTAAAATACACTTGCAAAGAATTCTTTCACACATGAAGTGCTGTGGCAAACTGGTGGAGTCCTTCATTTTCCAGCCTCAGCCTCCCTGTAATAACTTCCATCCCCACAAAGAGCACGTTTTCCCAACGCTGTCAGTCCCCGGAATTCGAAGAGCAAGTCTTGGCACTGCAAAATGACAGCTTTTTTTACTGATGTAATGACCCTCTTAGTACACAAAGTTGTCATTTCTTGCTAGTCCAATTGATCCTTTTGTTTATACTGCAGACGTGTAAGTTTACATGTCTTCTAATCTCTCCTTTGTATTATAGCAACATAAATCTGTGGTTAATACTTCATTAATTTCCTAAGGGAGGCAACTTCCAGCATGGCTTGGAAAACTGATGACCCACTGCTGTCAAGGGCTGTATGAGTAACTGGCTTTATTACTTTGGCAATAAAACAAAACCAAGCTAAAGGTATGCGTCCATATGCATACAGAATTTTGGGATAGAAGAAAAATACTTTTTCCTTGCTTTTCCCCACTGAAACAAAAAAGCTGGATTTCCCCACTGAAAAAGCTGGATTGCTTCCTTCTGTTTGATATAAAAATTAAATGCTCTCTTTTGGATACATATACACAGAGCAAAGAAAATTACTCAGTGTAAAACAAAAAGGCTCAGTGTATGAAATAGAGTGGGGAGAAGAAAATAGCATCCCATTTTGTCCAGAGGTGAGGACTGATGCAGAAGGGGTAGGAGACCAAGAAAGATTCAAACTAGACTCTAGAGTATCAAATCTCCCAGCACACTGCCCTGTCTGCCAGACTCTGGTATTTTAGGTTGCCACGTTCCTCATGCCTCCTGCTGATCTTATTCCACCTGGTTTAGATAAATATTTACTCATACCGGGACTGAGGCACTGTGTTCCCATTTTCCAGGTGAATGTCCTACCAACCATGCTGGTGAGCCTTGTCCCAGATCCTACAGAATTATTCCATACAACTGGAATATTATCATCAGATAATATGAAGGACCCCTGGACATTCAGCTTCCCAATATCCGGGTGGTTAGCATATTATTTTAAGAGGCTAAATCTCCAGCTCATCCAGACTCTGGAACATACTCTGTGGAGGTTGATTTCCCCATGGCCAGCATGAATGTCTATGAATTTACTGCCTGAACAGGCACAAACACCACCACCTCTAACCTCTAACCAGCTCACTAATCTTCTGACAGAAAAAAAGAGAAAGAAATGCAGGAGAGTCCATTCATCTGATCCAGCCCCATTTGTCCAGCATTTTGGAGACAGTTAGAACTGCATTCTCCTGCGAGTTCACCCCATGTCGAGGCCATCTCAGTCAGCTCTCTCATTTCCCACCCTACAAAACTAAAAGCCAGTCCTGAACCACACTTCTGAAGGTAAACTACCAAGGGAAATAAGCACTAATTTTACCTCCTACATTTTCTGTGCTATAAGATTATGGCCTTTCTGAGAAAACTCCAAAGTGGAGGCAAAGCACAGGAGAGTCTTCTGAAAGAAGAGTTCCCCTGGTGCTGCTGAGCTTTTTCTGACATCAGTTGTGGCTCAGAGAGCCTCCATGTCCTGCCATAAAAAGCAGATTTTACAGCAGGTTTCATACTGCCTTTATCCTAATAAGGGAATAAAGTCCTTCTAGTTATCATTCTTGTTGGAGTCCCTGCATGGGAATGGATGGGTTTGGACTGCAGACCATGCCCTTCATTCAGCAATTTATTTGGTGGAGCTTTTCCCTGTACAGTTTCAGCAGCATCAAAGGGAGAACAGGTATAGATGCAGATGCAGGCCGACTGAGACCTTCAAATCTTCTTTTTATGGGGACATAAGGCAACTTCATATATCATGCCGCTGGACCCTTTCCATATTAGTAACACAGGACACCCAGTACTTACACTGCTTAGGAAAACAGAAATAGGCCTAAATCCTAGATCCAGATGTGAATTTGGCAAATAGCCCCTATACAATGGGACAACGAAATATCTCCGATCCAAACACTTCTACATTTTGGGATGTTTGAAATCAACTTTGCCCCCACAGCAATTCATTAATCGTATCTCTTAAATGTTTAAACTTCAGCTCGAAAGTAAAATCAACATTTAAGGTTCTTGCTAATTTGTCTCAGAATTGGCATCATATAAGATTCCCTTCATGAAATGGATAGTCTCAAAGACATTGCCAAGAGTAATTGCTGCCCTCCTCTTTTTCTGCCCTCCCTTCTTTATTTTACTTTAAAGAGATAAAGAAAGGTGGGGCGAAAAGTGAATGTTACTGACAAGATTTCTGCTGAATTTCATTTCCATTAGATTTCTACATAACTGGAAACTTTTTTGGCAGTCTCCCACTAAAGGCATAATAAATTGCTTTTGTACCAGCAGAGGAATTTGTTTTCTCTGTTTCATTTAGCAACAACATTGCTGTGAATTTCACACAACAGTTTCTAAAACGTCATCAGATTTCTCTGCCTAATGTCAATTTGGCATTTTCCCCCTCTTCACAGAGTAAAGGCTAAAGAAGCAAAAACAGAGCAAAACAAAAACAAGTTGCCATGCTCGTTGTATAACGCACAGGGAACGAGCCAGGTTCGTTATTCAAGCAGGTGCTTGTTTTTGGGCAACATCACCAACACCACTGTCAGGAATCAACATCAGTTTTGTAAAAGTGACAAAAGATCATAAAGCCTGGATTCATCCATCTGAGGGTTTGATTTTTCCCCTCCTGACATGAGCTGGAGAAGCTTATTCTCCCTGTGCAAAGCCATTGCCTATTCTAGAAATAATTAAAAACCTTTGATCTGTCAATGGATCAACTCAAAAGGAAAAAGAAAAAATAATCAAAGAAAACAGAGGTCTAGTAGAGCATCTTTGCTTCAGCATGTGATCAGGTTACAAGCTAGCTTGCTCAAAAATGCTGACATCCCTCCACTCACAACACCTTAAATGGGCTTTATGAGTGCTCAGTCCCTTCCATAGGATTTAGACCCTTTAGAAATTATTTTGCATCCTTTGCAGCTAGTGATCATGTTCCCAGATTATATCTGGGACAGCGGGAGCCAGTCTTAACCACCACCACCACTTTCTTCTTTAAACTTCCAGTCTCCCAAGTCCTCATCCCTTTTAATTACAGATGCTTGGGCAAAGCTAGGAGCCTGAAAGAAGGATGTGACCATGTCTGTGACATATCCCGACAACTGCTCTCCTGCAAATCCTCTTTTCATTTCCATACATCTGGGTCTGGGGCACAGGGGTGGGAGATCAGTGGCCCTTCACATCATTTGGGACGGAGGAGTCAGAGGGATGCCCGTACGTGTGGGTTGCTGCTGCAACTTCCTCTCTTCAGTGCATGTCACAGCCCCTCTCCATCACTTCCTTTCATTGAAATTTTTCACGAGGGGGTATTTGCAAGTGCTTTGCATATGCAAGGCACATCTGATCAAATCATGGCTATGCAGATGTTACCATGCTGCCTGCTGGATATAAGGGGACAGATTTTCCCAGCTGTTGTGCAGGTGTCCTCTCCCAGTCTGATCTACTATGGAAAAATCAGGGAGCAATGAAGTCCTGTCACTGGGAATGCCATCATGTAACTAAGAGCAGCCTCAGGGTCCCTCCTGGGAGTTGCTCTCAGTTGCTAATAGCTCTCAAGGAGTCTTTTAGCTCACAATCCATGAGCCTACAATACTCTCCTCTGCTACCCACACAACTCCATCTGGCAAAACCATATTAAAAATGGTACTACTAAAATTATTGCATAAAGATATTAATAACATGTTTGATGTGCCCTTCTAGGGAGAAATACTACAGAAAGGAAGTCGGGTTTTAGCCAGCCAAGAAGGCAGCAGCACGGTGGAAATGAGATCTCATCTATATGGCCTCTCCTTCCCCGAGCAGCACAGGGCTGTGCTGCCTCAGCCTCGGCTGGGATTGCGCTTCCATTTCTATCCATTACATAAAATCTCACCACATTACTCAGGATCACAGGCACTGCTTAAGGCAGTGCAAGGAAAATTTAAGGAAAATTTGGCTATGTTTTTTCCTTTGCAAATATAAAGGAGAGCCTAAAACAGTGCAGAGTAGTTTACTGGGGGAAGTCTGAAACTGCAATGGTTCACTTTTCAGTTAGTGTTTCTCTTTTTTTGACGTGATCCGTTTATTTTACTGGATTGACAGGGTTTTCTCATGTCAAAGACAAGCCCTTTTAGTAATATCCTCGTCTCACAGGATCCAAACCCAAAACCCAGTGCCTCTGAAATTGGGTGGCCCTGTCAGTCCACAAACAATCGCATTTGCTAAAAAATGGGTTTTTCCTCCCCTTGTACAATGAAACTTTGTATATTTGAAATTAAACTATTGAGAGGAATTTGGATGTTGGGAACACCAAGACATACTGAAAAATAGCTATTATAAACAATGTCTTCTTTTCATTAATAAAGGACTAAAGAAAGCCACGTTAGGAAATTTTCTCAAAGAAATTATGTGGCAGATTAAGAGATACAGAAGGCTGAGAAATGAGTGTGGATATGGATATGTACAGCCAAGGGGTTAGAAACATTAAGCTTCACAACTTTAGCAGTAGTATTTATCACACATGCTGAGTGAAGGAAGGAAGTTTGAGATGATTGGCGTACATGACGTAAAATAAGGATCAAAATTAAAGCAGGGGATGATCAGTGCTCCTCGGGTGCTCCTCTGGAGCTGGTGCTGCCAGATGCTGAGCATCTGGCCCCTGAAGAACCCTCTGCAGACAGAGGGCTGAACCCCTCTGCCCTGCAATCAGCAGGCTGCTCCAGCCTGGTTTCAGCTGGGTTTGGATCAGGGTTTACTTACACTTTTTAGTTTTAAACAAAAGCCTTTATGATTTAATTCATACAGCAGGATAACGTTTTTCTGAGTTTTACCTGTTGGGATAACGCATAAAAATATGTGTGTGTATATACATATATGTACATATATTTAGCATTTTTTTTCTTGAAAGGATCAGTTGAACGTGTTTTATTGTCTTCTGTCCAAAAGAAAACCCTTGAAATTAAAGAACCGGAATATTTAAAAACAAAATGTCTGCGGTTAAGCTGTGGCTAACGATCATAAAAATTATACAGATCTTAATCAAGAAGGTTTGCAAGGTACTTCAGCTTGTCGTTCTGTTTACAGCTATATGTAATATCCTCCGAAAATCTTGTTCTAGTATCAGCTAACAGAACTGGAAAGTTTGTTTAGATTATTGTTCTGCTAGATAAGATAAAAGCTGTGATAACATTGCCCAGTGATCAGCCTGCTTGCAGATACAGACACTTACCCCGGAGGCTGCGGTCTGTGCGCCGGGAGAAGCAGTTTTGCTACAGTCATCTGAGTTCGTAGAAGACGTGGATGTCGGAGTCATAGGAACTGCAGTAGTACTGTTACCTGAAAAATTGGGAATTGGTATTCAAAAGAAATATTTTCCAGACAGAGAAGAAAAAAAAAAAAACCAAACAAAAACAAACCAATAAAAAACCAAAACGACTACAAACTGATGCAGCTACACTTTCTTATAGTTTATATTTACCAGAGCATGCCTTTGATTTATTTATATTCTTAGGTTTTCGCTTCCTCGTCTGAATTCCTTCTTTTTTCATAGCAAGAGGCCGAGGAACCTGAAAAAATTAAATTTCCACACCAATCACAGAGTTGCATATGTAGTCTAATATCAAAAAATCACAATGCAGTACAAGACCAGATGCGATGTTGCAAGTGTCTGTGTAGCAAGTCAATTTTTTCTGTGTCACAGTACTAATTATAAAAAAATTTTTGCATTTTATTTGGGCAAAACAACAGTTTGATTCAAGGGGAGTTGTAGCTGAATTAAGAAAGCAGAGAAACTTTTTTTTCTCTATGCAAATTTGATAGTTTTTTTCAACCCCTCAATCAATGCACAGGAAAACAGCACAGAATTAGGGAAAACCAGCATCCTTTGGCAATAAGCCGTAAAAAATTAAATTGGATGGGGTATATCAGATCCTTGATTTATTATTCCAGTCAGTTAGGAATTATCTCCAGTGCCTGATTTTGGAAAGAAAGAATGTATATGAGAAAAAAAAAAATCATCCTGTGGACCAGCTATGCATACCAGATCGTCATGAGGAAACATCTTAGGACAGAAGATTTAGAGTAGAAGAATTGACTTAGTTTTTGTTCCTATAAGCAGTTCTGCCCATAATACAGCTTTATGGTATCTAAAGTTGTATTTATAGAGATAAATTTATATTTATATGTGCTCAAAAATCATCTTTGTGATCATCACAATGATAATCACTCTACAAAAACACTGGCTTAAAATAGATTTTAACACAAATTTGAGAAAACACAATTCATGTGTTTTCTATCATTTTAATATTTAAACCTGTGACATAATTTACATTTTATTGAAGCCTAGACCACATCTTAATCATTTCTAATGCCCTTGCTCTTCAAACACTTATGCTTGACTGTAACACAATCCACAGGGGGTCTCACCCAAAACATGCTCCATCACATCCAGGAGAGAGCTTATTTTTTACTCTATTAGCGCCCAACAAAGGCTGAAAGAGCATTTAAAGTTTTTCTGGCAAAGCTATGTCTGGAATAACACTCAAAGTTTTGCTGGCATAGCTATGTCTGTCCATGAAAAACTGTCTCATTCAAGGTCTAGGGATTTTTTTCCCCTCTAAGGAGCTGATTTAAATCCCAGTGGCACAAACACCACGGCTGCTCATCCAGAGGTGGTTTCTTTATACAAATCTGTTGAGAGAGCTACAGTGGCAAGCACATAACTAGTCAAAAGCGTAACAAGCTAAAATGGTACAACCACTTCCTAATGTCACACATTTTTCTGTTGTTCTGTGCACTTCGCTCGTCCCTTTTTTGGGGACCAGCCCTTCCCCAGAGCAGCACCAGAGCTGGCAGGGGATGTCCCTCGGTGAAGCAGCCACTCACCCCATGGAGCTTCATGTAGAGGCCGCAGGCGTTGCAGACGGGCTCGCCCTCGGCGTTCCTGCGCCACAGGGTGGTGGTCGTGGTGTGGCAGTTGGCACAGGACAAGCCCATCCGCCGCGACGAAGGCTGGACGCAAGCACAGGCAAACACAGGTATAAACAGGCGGCCAGGAGAGAATGATTTATGCCTTTATGGTTCGTAAAAAGTCCTTTAACACAAGGCGGGGATGGTAGGAGCTTTTTTTTATAGTATCTGTCAGCAGCAACCCAGATTTGGAACAAAATTATCCTCGTATCAGAGTGTGGGAAGCTGGTGTGAAGAGGTACCCAATGTCTTTTAACCCTGGGCAGTCACAGCAGAGGCAAAATTCTCATTTGGGAGCTGGTGACCAGGAGAAGTCTGTTCAGACCACCAGACATTGGTTCTTTTTCCAGCAGGACAGCTAGGAAATATCTCCACTACAGCTCCATCAAGAGGAGGCACATCACTCCTGTGCTGCCTCTCCAACCAGTTAAATGCCCTCTCCCCTGAATGGTGGGTGAAGAGACAGCTCTGATCCTGCCACTGATACTCCTGACTCATCAGAAAAACCAGCCACATTAATCACCTGCCCTCAGTGGCACCACACCTGGGGAAAACTTTCCTGGGAATCCCAGGGGTAACACATGCAACAGCATTACTTTCATAAAAAGATCTTTTTTATCATCACCCATTTTCTCTTCATACAAAAAAAAAACATGCTTTGGGAGCGTGTTTTACAGAGCAGAGCCTCCCTCGGCCAGCAGAAAAGCTGGTGGGTGACAACAAGGTTCCCACTGCAAACAAGCCATTTATGACACTCTTCCGTGGAGTTTGGAGCCAAGATGAAGCAACTCTGTATCAGAAATAACCGTATAACCCAGAGCTTTATGGCCACAGGCTGTATATCATAAGTGAAGGCAGTCCTCATAAACATGTGAAATGAAGGTGAATGGGTTATAAAAGTCCCTGTAACAACTGATCTCTTTTACGTTCATCACAAGTAAAGAATTCCAGCTACATCATAAATCTAGTCTTTTTCAAAGTATCGCATTGTCAAAAAAATACAAAAAAAAAAAAATCTGTGCCTAGCTCTGTGTCTGGCAGCTGAACAAGTTTACATGGAGAAGTCAGTTTTAGAGGATTGCATTAATCTTATTCTGACTATAAAGTGCCCATAACTGAAATTACTAACTTAAGGGTACAATGCCCTTCCTCTTGAATCATTTACTGCTGGGTTGTTAGACATAACTGGGTCACCTTTGATACCACAGGGCTGCCTGCCACTGGGGAAACCGATAAAAATGTTTTGAGAATGAAGAAAATTCCAGAGTAATAACTGAGTTTCTTGAATATTGTCTGTTTGAGTGTCTTTAGCAGTACGCCATCGTTTTACACCACAGCTCAGAAAGAGCTCCAGATTAAATACAAATTTTGTAATCTTGAATCAGTAATCCATTATTAATTGTGCAGGAAAGAAAAAAAGCAAACCACCCAGCCAAGTGTTATATAGGCTGAAGTACACAAATAAAATTTTTAATCTTAAAAATCCAAGTATCATGAAAACAGAAATTTTGACCTAGTTATTAAATACGCACACACACAGCGCTCAAATTGTGACCTCGACTCACTACGTGTTTTACGTGATCACACTGAGTAAAAGAAAGCTGGTCATAACACATATTCTTCATTTTCTTTCTCTGCAAGTGAAATGTTATCAGCTGTTTCACTCTGTTAAATCTTTCTCTTTCCTATGCAGCCTGGTCTAAACCTTCATAAATTTTATTTCAATAGCTTTTGCTTATTCCCATATCTAAACAGACATGGAATTTTGGCATGTTTTGAAGCTAAAACAACTTTTCTGATGCAGGAACTTTATCAGAAACTTTGGGGCAATCTAAACATGTTTAGCGTTTTCAAAACATTTTCCCTTCTCACCTACATATTTCCAAGTGTATGAACACAGAGTCACGGTTGATTTATAGTTATGGCCAGGGCACTCGGTAGGGATTGTTACACAGAGCTATTTCAGAGTTATTTCACTGAGGTGTCAGACTGAAATCGGGCTGTAGTTTGACTCTCCTTTAGTCTTCTCATCCTGATCCCTCCTTGCCCCCCCACAAAAAAAAAAAACCAAAAAAAACAAACCTAAAAAAAGGACACAGAAATGCTAGAACCTGGTGTTAGCTACTTGAAATCTGCCTTGGGCCAGGGTGCCACAGCAAGTTGGGCTCTGATGCTTGAGACAATTGGCGGATCTGGTCCCTCCACTGCATCTGTCCCACTAAAGGGATAACACCTAGTGTCATGAAATTTACCCGACGAACAGCTAGAAAAAAAACAGGCACCTGGCAGCAATAAACCTCTGGCTAAAAGTTAAATTAATTCTTCAGCTCAAAGAAAGACCTATAAGCAGAGGTGAGTCAGTTCCCAAGCGCTTACTGTCTGCTCTGATCATCGTGTGTTTGGGTCTTGTTTTCCCTCGTTCCCGTAAGGGCACTAAATTCAAACAGTTGTGAAATAAAGAACATTAGGTGTTTTAGCCCTAAGAAAACAGGCATGGAGCAAAGCAGCTGGCATGACTGAAAGGGGCTTGAAAGGCTGATGGGTTCGATACGCTGTCTCCATACACTAGGGTCCAAACATCAGCTTGGATTATAGTGGTGTGATTTATTGTGGCTCGCTCTGTAACAGCCATTACTGAAGAGCGTATTCTTTCTGTCTGCTGACCTCCACCCAGATTTGCTAAACATAATGTGCAGTTCCCGCTTGTTAAATTTTCTCCTTGCCTATTCAGTGCCAGCCTGAGTTATAAACAGGGGTTCTGGTTTGTACTATTTATTTCCCCCCGTAGTTTTAGGAGTATATTTTTAGAAAAATTGCCGCTCATTTCTTAGGAGTAAAACAAAACAAAAGCTATTATCATTGTTTAAACAATTGGTTTTCTTTGAATTATATACAAAACTTGCTTACATTCCCAAGGATCGAGCTCTCAGCAAACAAAGCAGGTCTGGAGAAATTCCTAGCCCTCTGAACAAACATTTTCCAAACTTGATTTCTTTTTTTTTTCTTTTTTCTTTCTGTTGGAAATGTCCAACACCACCAGCAGAAATTTCTTCCAAGCCACTGAATCCCCCTCAAAGGTGGGATTCATAGCTCAAAAAGCCAGACTGGCCCATACCTGGTATGCAGCTCACAAGGGGACAGAGAGAGATTTTGCCAGCTCAGAGCCTGGGAGTGGGTCTGAAGCAGTTCCTGAAAGGCTGCCAGCCCTGTCACCCCTCATTGTGACTGGTTTGGCCTGCAAACCTGATCAGGAGCCCCACTTCGGGTTTGCAGCCAAGAGGATCACCAGGCTATTAATGCTCTCCCCCGTCCTTGCCCCAAATTTCTCCCTGGCTAGCGCTGACTGGGGCTCCTTAGGGCAAAGCTCCTCTGGCCCCCCTGCTCCCCTCCCTCCGGACTCACCACTCTCTTCTGGGGTTTGATGAGGGGCCGGCTGAGGCCGTTCATTTTGGTGTAGAGCCCACAGGCGTTGCACAGGTAGTTTCCGGTGCCGTCCCTCCTCCACAGCGGGGTCTGGATGGAGCCGCAGTTGACGCACTCCCGGCTCTCGGACAGGTCCTCCAGCAGCTCTGGGGGCAGGAGCAGAGGGGACAGGCGGTGGGGCACGGCCCAGGCTGCCGCAGAGCCCGCTGTAGCCCCTCACAGAGCCCCGGCCCCGCCGCGCCGAAAGCCCCGGGCGAGCGAGCAGCCTTGCCCGCAGAAAAGCAATTCCCCGGCAGTGACGGCTGCCATGCGGTGATTTATTTTTTTACAAAATCCCGGGTTATTTCTTTTCCCTTTTTTTGTTGTTTGTTTGTTTGTTCGTTTGGGTTTTTTTCCTATTTATTTAAATGTGCCAGACCCGCTGCCGGCCCCGGTGCAGCGGCTGCTCTCGGAGGCGGAGAGAGCCGGCGCGCCCCGGCCACCGGCGGGCTCAGCCCCGGCCTGCCCTGCGCTCCCCTCGGCATTCCACCCTTGGGAAATGCGGCTGGGGTCCGCTCGAGGGACGAAAACCCCGCTGTGGTGCCCACAGGACGGAAAGGGAGGTGCACTTGCCTTTAGAGGGGAGCAGAGTGGGGAGTGAGGTGGCTGTCAGAATAGCCAGCCCCAGAGACACCCTGGAAGCTGGATATAAGGAGCTGTCGTTTTGCCCAATATCCCCCAGGGTCGAAGCTTGGCAAGAAGTTTTCTACCCTAACTCCTATTTTAAATGCCTCGCAATTAGCAGAGCTTCAAGTTTAGAGGCAGCGTTCAGGGCCCTGGTTGTTCCAGGGCAGAAACGAGCAGCGGTCGCTTTCACCTCGGCTATTTGGTCAAATTAGAGCTGGTTTGTAGGAAACAGAGGAAATGGAAAAATAAGCGGTATTGTGCCTCCTGCTTTCATAGTTACTGAGCACTGAGGGGAAAAAGAAAGGTCTAAATGCACGGGTCAAAAAAAAAAAAAGAGAGAGAAAGAAAAAAAAAAATGAGGAAAAATGAGAGAACCCACCTACAAAACCTAATACTTTCACCCATGCGAATCCTTATTCTGATTCACCTCTCCATATTTCGGGGAGGGGAGAATAAGAACTTATTTTACATAGACTGTGCCACGTTGTGAAGAAATAATAAAAGGAGATGTTTGGATTTTTACAGCAGCTTTCGAGTCGAGTCTGGGAATGTATGTTTCAGATTCAGAGCTTCGTCGTTGCTTTTTTTTTTCCTTCCTCCCTCGGCTACCTGCCTAAATTCATCATTGGGTTATTCTCTTACGTTTCTCTGTACAGAGGAGGAGAGCTCGTAAAGGTCGAGCAGCTTTGGAGACTGGGCTGCGGTGCTGCGGTGACACGGCGGGCACTGAGCTGAGAAAGAAATGGCCTTTTGGCCCGCACCCATCCAAATACGTTTCTCCCTTCGTTTGCGAATTATTAGGCGCTAAAGAAGAACGAGCACACGGCAGAGTCCAGAGAGCACAGTTCAACTTACGTTGTCAGCTCCTAGCTCTTAGCACATCGCTAAGATTTATTAATCTTTGCACTAAAAGCACCATTGAGGACTGTAAGCAGAAAAATGCTTAGGGCGTCAAGGACGCTGGAACTTAAACAGTAATTTGTCTCAGCTATTTATTTTATAGCATTGACTTCGTGCTTGCAGAAAGAAATTCTGCCGTGACAATATTTCTGGGGCATTTTCAAATGTTTTTTTTTTCCCCTTACAGAGTGAGTAATACTTAAAAGTATTACTTATCCCCAAGAAAAAGAAAATAAAGTTGTAATTTTAGATACTGTTTTAGCATCTCTACGAGTAACGTCTTACGAGTAAGAAAGCTTGATCAAACTGTCTAATATTTAGCCCTAAAAATATGTATTTCGGCTACAATTTTCCTACAATTTTGAAACGGTACCGAGCGTGGCTTTGCTGCCGCGTTTTGCCTCGCTGGAGCAAAAACCTCGCCCGGCCCAGGAGCTCCGGGCTGCTTTGCCCTGCGTTACACCGCGATGCGGCTGCCCTGGCACCCATCCTTTCCCTCATGGAAAGGCTAATCGCTACCCCTCCGGCCCCCAACACTGGTGAGAGGGACCACAAGGGCAGGAAAGGCCCCCCTGGAGCAGGGGAAGCTGCTGTGCTCCTCGGCTGCCTTGACACTCCTGCCCCAACCTCCTCCAGCCCCCGGCTCCTTCACTTCTCTGCTCCTTCTTACTAACCCCTCTCCTCTACGTGCCCTGAGATTTTCCAACCCCACGTCTCTCCCGACAAAATAAAAATAAAATAAAAAAAAAATTAAAGCAACCAAAAAAACTCCACAACTTATCTTTTTCCCTCCATCACCCAGTTTCACACCAAAATATTTTTCCTGTTACCCTGACATGCAGCTTCTCCTATCACTGCTACAACTGATTTTCTTCCCTCAGTCATGATAGTAAACATCAAGTGGGAGGCTTAAAGTGCTTAAATCTACAGTGTATCACCGAGAAACGGGAGGAGCATTATGTGTACAGCCCTACAGAAAGAAGAAAATCCATGGGGTAATTTTTCTGCAACACTGCACTGAAAAAGAAAATCACAGTGTCTATAAAATACATGCACCTGGTGGGTAGTTTATGCTTAAAGTGAATGATGATCAAATGTGTGTGCATATTTACATAAATATGTATATATACATAATATATATATATGCATAACACATATAAATAAATATATGTACATAGCCACACACACCTCTCTATGCACCTCTATTTATATATACATAAATTTATTCTAAAGCTGAAGAGACTGCAATAATCGTTAATCTTTTTATCTCTGACTAAATCATCGCAGCTCAAACTCCACTTCTACAATTGATTTAATTACAGTCAGAATTCCTGTAGCTAAAACAAAAAGTAAGGATGGGACACCTCGGGAATTAAAGCAAAACCTCATAAGGAAGTGCTGTATTTTACAGCAGCTTACAAATTTAAATTTCCTCATTCATATCCGAGGCTTTGCTTTGCTGCTTTTATTTTCAACGAAGCAGCCAAGTGTTTTGTAGTTGAAATAATCCAAAACGGGTTAAATGAGCCGCTGCAATTTTCCTCTACTATACAAGAACTATTAATTTGCAGTGAATTTGTCACCGTTTCGCGCCCAGATGACCGCATTTGGGGAAAACAGGAACGTACTGACTTGGAAAAATTAAAAATTAAGTCTACACCGGGCAATTCGTTTTGGGATCTTCGGGTTGGTAACCCCCGTACTCCAAACAACGCCGATATTTGGAGGTGTATTTTCCCCCCTAATCCAACACGAACGAGTTTCCTCCACTCCAGAACAGCCATGGTCCCGGGACCGCCGTCCTGCCACCGACACCGGGGCCGTCCCTCGCCAGCGAGCCCCTCTCCGGGGCGGCCCTACCCCCGCTCCCCCGCTCCCCCCGGCACCCCCGCCGCCCCTCCAGCGGGCAGCCCCGGCGTGCGGCCACCCTCCCTGCCCTGTGCCCTGTGTCCCGCCCGCGGGCCCTACCTGCGCTGGGTGCCCGGACGGGGATGGGGGCGGCCCGGCCCTGGAGGCAGTGCAGCATGGAGTTCTCGAAAGGCGCC